GATAGATAGATAGATAGATAGATAGATAGATAGATAGATAGATAGATGATAGATAGATAGAATACTTTATTGGCTAAGTGTGATTGGACACACAAGGAATTTGTCTTGGTGTAAATACTCTCTTAAAAGAATACTTGTGTGGCATCTCCAAAATGTCTGTGAAGAGTCTCAGTCATCCAGGTCATAGTTGTCCCAAATATGGTTTGTTTGTTTGTTTATTGGCTTTTTTTTTCAAGAGGTACCTGGACTTCCTGGTTTTTCTTTGAATTTTCTTGAATGAGAAGCAAAATGTCTTCAGAGAAAAACCAAAAAGCCCAGAAAAAAAGAAAGCCCAAGAAGAAAAGCATCTTTGAGACAGCATCTCCAAAATATTCCTTAGAATTGTCTTGGGAGCACTGGTATAAACCAGTGCTTCTCTATCATTTACTGTCCAAAATTAAGACGATTCCAACTTTGTTCCCTCTCTGGAAAGCTTTGAAAACCTGTATTTCCCTGGAAAAGACTGACTGTTCTGAAGTTCCTTTTAGAATTAGAAAGCGAAGTACCACACATTCTGTGTCAGGGGTATCAAGCTCGATTTCATTGAGGACCAGACCAGGGTTGTGTTTGGCCTTGGGGGGCATGAGGGCATGGCTGGGATGGGCGTGGCCAACTCAACGTCACTCATGTTAGGGGCGCCTGTGGTCCCTTTCTCCTTCCCTGTCCCTTCTTGGATGCTCAATTGCAAAAGGGGAAACATTTCTCGATGCCTCCTTGCCTTGTGATCAAATGCCACTTTTGTTAGTAGTTTCTTTTGCCAGCAGTCTGCCAGCAAAGACGGGCGCCCCTCCCGAGCTCAGTTTTCAGCCACGGTGGCCTCCTGCAGCAATCTGCCAATGAAAGCGGAGCTCAGCCTGGGTCATGCCAAGGCACTGCGAGCTGGTCCTTCGCTGTTTCCAAGGCAGTCCTGTGGGCCAGATCTAAGTACTCAGCTGGATGGATCCAGCCCGTGGGCCTTGAGTTTGACACTCTTGGTCTATGTGGTTGCTGGTAGACTGATGTTGCAGGAGGGAGGGCTGTTTCTGCAAAGAGACAGGGGAGTGGTCTTTGGAAGAGGGCAAGTGTCACACCCTTGTTGGAGTCTGATTCTGAGGGGGAGATTGAGCAGCTGACAGGGAGTGGGAGTGTGGCTCCGGTGGCTGTGGAAGAAATGGGGGAAGGGCACAGTCCATCTGGGCATTCAGAGGAAGACCCAGGCCCACCCCCTCTTTATCCTAGGGCACACAGGGAGGAACGGAGAAGGGAGCAACGTGGTTTACGAGAGAGAAGAAGGCCCTGATCCCTTTCATTAGTTGAGAACAGGATATAAGTGGGGCATTTGCACACAGCTCCTTGCTGGAAGCAAAGCATGCACTATCTTGGTTGAGGCTTATCTGGGTTTTGGCGTCCTCCCAACTGTGGGTGCTGGTTATCCTTTGAAAGTCTGCAATTTATCATCCTGGCCTGCCGTGTTAATTACTTCAGCATGGTTTGTGTTGTTTTTTATTTCTAATTATCTTTACTTTGGGTTTGGACTGCATTTCTTCCCTTTGTAGACTGTTTTTTGAAGAGTTTGTTATCCAGCCGAGGATAATTGGATATTGGGGCCCAACTTGGAGGCATTAAAGGGAATTTATTCTACTTTTGTGACTTTATATTTTTGTGTCACACCCGGGTCATCACAACAAGGATAAATCCTCCCTAGCAGTTCACAGCATATACTGTAGCTACAGTATTGCAGACAGTTGCTTTAATCTGGCAAGATTCTGTCTGTAGGCAAACAGCAATAAAGGAATTAGTCCAGATGTAGTTCTTGGGTTTTGTGGGGGCTTGCCAGTCTAGCAAAAGCTGCTTTCAAGCTCTTTTGCTCATAACAATCATCCTAAAAGGTGGTAGTGTACAGGAAGTCCTTGTCTTATGACCCCAATTGAGCTCAAAACTTCTGTTGCTAAGAGAAATGTTTGTTAAGTGGGCTTTATGACCTTTCTTGCCACAACTGCTAAGTGAATAATTGCAGACATCAAGTCAATAGCAATGTAGTTGGCTTCTCCTTTGACAAGGTCACAAAAGGGACCTCAGGACATTGCAGCCATCATAAATAGGACTCAGTTGCCAAGCGTCTGAATTTGGATCACGTGACCAGGGGGATGCTGCAATGGTCGTAAGAGTGAAAAATGGACATAAGTCACTTTTTCCTGTGCTGCTGTAACTTTGATCAGTTACTAAATGAACCGTTGTAAGTCGAGGACTACTGATATAACTGCTATACAAAGCTACTCATTTAATATTCAATATTCATAAAGTGGAAATTACTGTATGCATCAAGCTATGCCAATTTAGCGGTAATTCAATATTCAGTTCCTATATCTTTATTTGACCAATAAGTGCTTTCAAGACATTATTTAAATTGGTCATCAATTGAGATATACAGTTACAATAATTTTGCAAAAAAATATTTGTATTTATTAAATATCTAAAATGGTCCCTTTATTTAAACCATGGTGATTGTTCACAGGTTGAATCTTTACAAATTATTTTATTTATTCAAGTGTGTATAGAATTTTATATATCATCACAGAATCTGGAATGTAAGCAAGTTTTACCATGGGTAATTTATCATATTTATGAAGGATTTTTTTTTTAAAATAGTTTACGCTGTCAGTTTTCCAAAGCACCGGAGTGTGTGTTGAATCCTACATGCATTTTTTATTTCTGCATAAATGTTTTATTTCCAAATCAAGATTGTATTGCTGGTTTTATTAACCTAGAGAGAGTGTTTTGGAAAAAAAAATGATGGATAGATAAACAACTTAAAATATTTATGACTCAGTATTTAAGACTCGTTCAATTTAATAATCTTGGGTCTTGGCAAATTAAAAACTTAATTTTAGAGTATTGACATTTTTGTAGTACCATAAAGTTATGATTGCTTCAGAATGGCCTTAGTTATTGAATAAGTGAGTGGTTTCCAATTTTATTTATAAATCACATTAAAATCCTGTCTTTCTTCTGTGGAGTTAGTTTGCCAATCTTTCTGTGAGTAGCAGGGAGAAATTATCTTATGAATGAAGGCAGATATATGTGTCCCAGGATAATGTTGTGAGATCTAATCTGGATAGGTCACTTGGACCACAGAAGCTTTCAAATTTATGCTGGAGCCCATTTTCAGGGAATTTCACTTTACTCAAATACGTGCTTTGGGCTGTTCTAGGTGTCATATTTAGGTGGTGCCTTCCTATTGGCTGATTGGTGTGTTGATGGCTGGCGATTGGCTGTCATTTCCTTGTGCTTCCAACTCCTAAGTACTTGATAAGCTGGTGGTAATTCAGCACCCCTGTTGACTGATCAGGGACCTCAGTGGTGGGATTCAAATTTTTTACTACTGGTTCTGTTGGTGTGGCTGGTGTGGCTTGGTGGGCGTGACAAGGGAAGGATACTGCAAAATCCCCATTCCCTCCCCACCCCACTTATCTGCTTTCCAGTTCTGTTCTCCTGTGCAGGGCAACAAAAGAAGACCCAGCCAATCAGCTGGGACTCAGGAGGCAGAGAATAGATGGGGCGGGGCCAGTCAGAGGCGGTATTTGCCAGTTCTCTGAACTACTCAAAATTTCTGCTACCAGTTCTCCAGAACTGGTCAAAATGTGCTGAATACCACCTCTGAGGGACCTGTTTCCCAGGCTTCAATCATTTCCTTGGCTATTTTTGTACTTGCTCGGCCAACAATCATAGTTGCTGCAAAATCAAATGGTCCTTAGTCATTGCAATGTGAGACTATCAATGATTATGTGGGATAAACGAGGAGGAAGTTAAATAATAGGCAGCAAGAACAGAAGTCAGCAGTCAGATGAGGAGACCTGAACTCATTCTAGGTCAAAGCAATCAAAATCCCATCATTTTTATGTGTATGTGTCATGCCCCCATCAGAGCCTGAATCTGTGGAGGAAGACGAGCTGGAACTGGAGCCAACAGAGATAGAGGGAGTTGCTTCATTGGCTTGGGAGGAAAATGGGGAGAAGCAGGCTGAGGCAGGCCAGGACCTTTCAGGATTGGGATGGCTTGTAGGCAGGGAGGAAGGAGGCAGGATGACCAAGAGAGTTCAAGCAGTGAACATGAGAGACAAAGCTCAGGCGATGCACAAGGACCACCCCCTCCTGATCCGCGAGCATGGAGAGTGGAGAGAAGGCAAGAACAGTGCAGACTGGCTCAACTACTCGGGAGGAGAGCACCCTGCCCCTCTTCACAACTGGTGACTGAGACTTAAGGAGACACTGTAGGGAGGGCATTTGTCAGGTACAAACGTTGAATTCATGGAGTGTTGAATGCCAAGGTTTGAAGTTTCCTGGATTCCTTGAATGCTTTCTGGTAATAATTGCCTTGCTCCTTTACTTCCTGGACTCCTCGACTTGCCCTGCTGGATTTCTTGCTTTGCAGCCATTGTGATCATAGCATTATGCTAGACTACTTGCAGTTAGAGGTTGATGGAGGTGTGTGTGAGAGAGAAAGAGAGAGATCACTTTGCTCTGGGACTTGCCAGAAATGTGGGAACATTTGGGGCAATTTGGAGCAATAAAGGGGCAATTTGAACTGTCAGCTACCTCTGTGCCATGCCCTGGGTCATCACCAGGGGTGGGATTCTACTGGCTGAGACCAGTTCTATAGAACTGGTTGTTATGATTCTGTGCAGTTCGGAGAACCGGCAAATTGTGCCCCTGGCTGGCCCCTCCACTCCCCACCCAGTCAGTCCTTATTGCGCATGTGCGACATCGCTGACTGCGTTCTCCCCCACCCAGTCACTCCTTAAGGTATTTCTTTTTTTTTCCTCCCGATGATCAGCTGTTCCGATGATCAGCTGTGCTGGAATCCCCCTCGCTGTCTTACTGCTTCGGCCAGGAGGCTTCCCTGTGGCCCAGGTGGCAAAAAAATGGGGAGGGGGGTTGGTGCAAAAAAAGAGAAGAAGCCACACCCACCCAGTCACATGGTCATGCCCACCTAGCCACATCCGTATAACCGGTTGTTAAAAAAACTTGAATCCCACCCCTGGTCATCACAGTATGTGATGAATATTTGCATGTTTAAAAGGGTGTGCCTTTAAATAGCGGTCTCTGTATACAGTGAGGAAACATGGAAAAAGATAGAAGCGTATTTCTGAAAAAACGTCTCTTATGATTACATTGTCCTCTATTCCAGGACAGTCAGAGTGTCTTCAGAGCTAACTGCAACAAAATTATAATGTTGTTTACTGATGGAGGGGAAGAAAAGGCTCAGGAGATATTCGAGAAGTACAATAAAGACAAGAAGGTAAGATCCTCCGGTAAATTTTTTTTTGGATATTTACATTTTAAAAAATTATTTGCAATTTAAAAAAAAATCAAGAAGGCGTTGCAAATATGTAACATGCATGAACTGAGGTCAGTGCATAAGAAATAGGAACGAACAGTGGAATTTTAAACAAAGAGCTTTGGTCTATTTTAAAATAATATTTTATTCATTTTCACATTCACATTTTTAGGCAATCATAAAAAAAGAAATGTGACAATTTAAGGAGATAACAGAAACTATGTCACAGCTGGGGTAGCACCAGGTTGACCATCTGGGCTCAGAAGCTAAGCAGGATCTGGTCTGATTAGTATTTGGATGGGAGACTTTCTGGAAATGCCAAAGCTGTAGGCTACATTGCAAAGTTGAAAAACATTCTGGAAGAAGGGCTGAAGTCAACTTTCAATTATTGCCAAGAAAAGCAGATGAATGTGTCTATGTGTCACCCAGATTTGAAATTCCAAGTCTCTTGACTTTCAAAGATTTTGTCATAGAGCACAATCACACACTTTTGAGTTCTCTGTCCAAACAATCAAATTCACTCTAACTATGTCTTCCCTCAACGCCATCTTCACTACCCCATCTTTCCAAGTGTTGTTAATATGGTGGCAAGACTTCCAGCCTAATGGAATTGAGTGTTGTTCAACTTTCATTTCATGGCTTGTTGATAGGAGCTGAGAAGAGAGGACACAATGCCTCCTCTCAGCTTTCGTGTATTTTGGAAGAACGCTTGATGAAGGGTCTTCAAAGTCAACTTCATGAAATTAGCTATTTTCTAGTTTTTGCTGAAGTCTTCCCTTCCCCTCTTCTTGGACAGTTGAGTTGGGACAGCAGGACTGGAGCAATGGAAGTTCAACGGTGGTAGTGCCATGACTGTTCTACAGTTGGGAACCCAATAACTATCTGCACTCAATAACTATCTTTGGTAGCATGGGAGATAATATAGTGACATCTTCGTCTGGGGTAGCACATGGTGGTTGGGACCAATCAGAATAAAGCTGGAAGGACCTTGGAGGTCTTCTAGCTCAAGCTGGAGACCCTATACCATTTCAGACAAGTAGCTGTCCAGTCTTTTCTTAAAAACCTCCAGTGATGAAGCACCTACAACTTCTGAAGGCAAGCAGTTCCATTGACTAATTGTTCTCAACTGTCATTGAGAACATTTCTCCTCATTTCCAGGTTGCTTCTCTCCTTGATTAGTTTCCATCTGTTGTTTCCTGTCCTGCCCTCAGGTGCTTTGGAGAATAGCTTGACTCCCTCTTCTTTTTGGTAACCCCTCAAATACTGGATATACTGCTATCACGTCCCTCCCTAGTCCTTCTTTTCTCTAGACTAGCCAAACCCAATTCCTACAACCATTTCTTCATATGTTTTTGTCTCCAGGCCTTTAATCCTTTTAGTTGCTCTTCTTTGCACTTTTCCCAAAATCTCAAAGAAGACCAACTAAAACAATTAAAGGCCTGGAAATGAAAAAAAAAAAAAAAACATCAGAGGAATAGCTGCAGAAATTGCAAATTGGGTATGGCTAATCGAAGAGAAAGCAAGGACTAAGGGTGACATGATAGCAATGTTCCAGTATTTGAGGGTCTCCCAGTTGCTTTCACCCCTTCTTGCCGGACAACTGAAATACTATTTTTTTTTGGGGGGGGGGGGCTACTGAAATTACCACTGCTGTTTAGAGCAAGCTGGAAGTAGTAGTGGGATTCAATTTTTTTTTTTTACTACCAGTTCTGTGGGCGTGGCTTGGTGGGCGTGGCAGGGAAGGATACTGTAAAATCTTCAATCAGAAGTGGTATTTGCCAGTTCTCCCAACTACTCAACATTTCTGCTACCAGTTCTTCAGAACTGGTCAGAACCTGCTGAAGACCACCTCTGGTTGGAAGTCCTTGATTCAGATAGTCTCTGACATGTGCCGGCCAGAGATGGGAATTCTAGCCAGATCCTAGATCGTTGATTGATAAGAAGACTAACCAGCTTAAAGAATGTCAGGCAAGCTCTTCCTTGTAATTAAATTTAAGACTTCAGCTAAGTGGTCTGTCACTTTCCAGAAAGGTCTTTGCGGGAATGCATCATTACGGGCACCAACTTCTTGTTCGCACATTCATTTATCTAATCCATGGTCTGTGCGTAGAATGTCCTAGCATCTGGCAAACGACACAGGCTGATTAAAATCCTGCTTTTATAAAGCTCGGTTATGTGAAATAGGCCTGAATTGGTAATAACTTGGCTGTCTGGAAGACTGTTCAATTCCACCGATGATATGTTGGGTTTTTGTGGGAGGTTTTTTTTTTTTTTTCCAAACATTTGGTGGGAGTCAATTTTGTATTTAAGCTGATTTGACCCCGAGGGAAATCGAAGACAGTTATTAAGGCAGAGATGGATCGCATTATGAAATGAGGTGCGATGTGCCTTTTTGTTCTATTTTTCAAAAGGTGGTGTGGGCTTTTGTACCAAGAAAATAGATATTGAGAAACTGCTCATTTGAGTAGAGCAATCAATATAGTGCAGCGATGTGCACCTTTACCTTTAGGAATATTGTAACTCCCAGTGCTTATTTTGAAGAATTCATTGGTTGGAAAATTAAAATGCACACGCACAAAGACAGATTTGAGCCGCAGTGGCACAGTGGTTAGAGTGCAGTACTGCAGGCTACTTCTGCTGACTGCCAGCTGCCTGCAGTTTGGCAGTTTGAATCTCACCAGGCTCAAGGTTGACTCAGCCTTCCGTCCTTCTGAGGTGGGTAAAATGAGAACCCAGATTGTTGGGGGCAAGATGCTGACTTTATAAACCGCTTAGAGAGGGCTATAAAGCACGGCGAAGTGGTATAGAAGTCTAAATGCTATTGCTCTTGCTATTTCTGCCATGGTGGTGCAGTGATTAGAATGCAGTATTGCAGGCAAACTCTGCCAACTGCCAGTAGTTCGATCCTGATCGGCTCAAGGTTGACTCAGCCTTCCATCCTTCTGAGGTCAGTAAAATGAGGACCCAGTTTGTTGGGGGCCATATACTGATTCTGTAAACCACTTAGAGAGGGATGCAAAGCACTTTGAAGTGGTATATAAGTCTAAATGCTATTGTTCTTTCAGAAAAAGAGGCTTCAAACAATTCACAGAGTTCCCCCTCCACATAGGAATCTTGTTTCCATTGTGAGATTCTGTCTTCTAAACCCTTATTTCTTGATATTAAACCTGGTTTATGAAGTTCCATGTGAACGGACCAGTGTTAGAGGCTTAACAATGTGCTGTGACACCATTTGTATGGCAGATTCACCATTCATGTTCAACCCAACCCACGTAAGATGCCTTTTCAGATCTGGACATGAATATCTGACTGTTTGAACTAGAGATAAATTTAAAAACTCTTTCAGGCTAAAGTTTTGGTCAAACTTCTCTGTCGATCCTAGGTCTCTGGTTGCCGTTTTGCCAAGTTGGAAAGCATCAAACCAACCTTCCCTTGAGTTGTCTTCTCAGTACCACCCAACTTGGCATTCCAGAACTTTTACTGATTAATTATTGGCTTAAATTAAGTTTCTTCCCAGTGGGCTTCACCCCTCTTACTTTGATTGACATTTTTCAGTCTAATTGGCACTGGAATGTTGAATCCAAATTAGCTGCTCTCGTATTCTCTTTGAATGCCTTATTACCTGGGAGGCTTTAAAAAGTGAAACTGTCTTTTTTTAGACAAGGAACTTTACATGGTGAGCTTCAACAGGATCTAGGCAAATTGCTTGATAGCATTTACCCAAAACAAACTTAATTTAGATAACCAAAAGCAATCATCGTACAACTGATATAGTTTGAAGGCTAAATGAGGCTCGTCTTCTATTTTTTTAAAAGAAACTAGAAACTTTTGGTCACTCAACAACAGCTCTTTCACTAGATGGCAGGCATTGTTTAATGATGCTGCAGTATCAACCCACCCTTTTGTTCCTCATGGCAAAGTTTTTTTTCTTTTTTCTTTAAATATAATTTTATTCAATTTTCAAAGATTAAAAACATAAAATAAAACTGTATACATTGTTATCAACATCAAGTCATCTTTTACATTTCCTTACATTTTTCTATATATAATTTCTTATTCCATTACCATTGCATAATTCTTTCCTTACTCTTGCTACAAATTAATATATTTCATCTTACATTTCAATCATCTCAATAACACATATACATATTTACATACCTTCTCATTCTTTACCTAATTGCCATTTTAATTTCTTTATATTCTTAAACCATTCATACCAGGCATCCCAGGCTCTATAATATGAATCTTCCTTATCTTTTAGTTTCAATGTTAGCCTGCCCATCTCTATACAGTCTATTATTTTCTTTATAACCATACTCTCTGGTGGTACTCTTTCCTGCTTCCAAAATTGTGTGTAAGAGATCCTCGCAACTGTTAAAATATGTAACATAATGTATTTGTCTTTTTTATTACAATTTTGTGTTATTATGCCTAATAAAAATAGTTCTGATTTGGATTCAGTTTTCTGATTTATATTTTTTTCTAACCACTGTTGAATTTCTTCACTTCTGGGCAGGTCTACCACATATGAAAATAAGTGCCTTTTTCTTTCTTGCACTTCCAACAGCTTGGGCTAAATTGAACATTTTTGCTAACCTAGCAGGGGGTAGGTGCCACCTGTAGAACATTTTATACAGGTGTTCCCTGTATGCTGCAGATATAGTTAATTTGTAATTTAGTCCCCAGATTTTTTCCCAATGTTCCAAATCTATATTGTGGCCAACATTTTTCACCCATACCACCATCGTTTCTTTGACCACCTCCTGTTCTATTTTGAAATCTAGTAGAAAATTATATATTCTGATGCTGAAATATCAACCCATCCTTTTGTTTCTTGTGGCAAAGTTTTTTTTCTTTTTTCATTTCCTATTAACACTCATGAATACGTTCAAAAGTTTATTAGCATTGCTAATAATAAAGTCCAACCGTATTATACTCACAGCAGCATTTTTAGCTGATGTTTATAGAACACACACATACACATATATTTCTGTTTTAGGTCCGTGTGTTTACATTTTCTGTTGGTCAACATAATTATGACAAAGGACCCATACAGTGGATGGCCTGTGAAAACAAAGGTATTGTGAGTTTATATGCATGAATAAATACTTTACAACAAGCCACCATTTATATTTATTTATGATGACATTGCTGCTTCGTGGACTCTGATTCTTTTAAGCTTGTAAAGGAGATTATTTGCAGTTCACAGTTGAAATGTAAAAAGAAAGGAAACTCCGCTCCCTCCTAGTATTGATGAGGTTACCTAGTTGGGTAATGAAATGTCTGCAAGAAAAGAAGCAAGCCCAGACAGCACGAAGTTAAAACAACATTTTACCCTTAAGAACAATAGAATATTTATAAAGCAGGTAGCAAAATATGGAAAACCCATATTTTCTCTTATGGATAAAATCAGATTTATGTCCTTGTAGCTTTCTTTATTTACTATTTATGAACCTCATGTAGTCTTGTTAGGTCTATATCCTTTCCCTTGCTAAATCTGAATATAAACATAAGCTTAATGCTTGCATGATCAAAGGTATATTTTTACACATTTTACTCGTGTAAAGAAGCTCACTTATAATTTATTGTAAATGACTGTCAATTTATTGGGAGATCTTTTGAACAGAGAAATCATGGCACGCAACTTGGATATTTGTGTGGCCACTACAGAAGAATAATAATTAACCATAGTCATTAGGAAAGACAAAAAAGTATAGGGAAAAAAATCATCAGGAAATTTACATCAGCAATCTTTACATGTATATGGCTTCCAAATTTGAATTTCATAATTTCTTCTGCTGTCGACTCCATGTTCATAGTCATAATATTTCTAGTGGATTGTCTGGAAATCCTATTTCATTAAAACTCCAATTTCTGCATTACATTTTCTATTTTAGGTTACTATTATGAAATTCCTTCCATTGGGGCCATAAGAATAAACACACAGGTATGTTTGCATTTTTGCAGCAATTTATTGATCAGGAATGCCAATTCTAAAGTGGAAGAAATTAAAATTCATCCATATAAAAATAGCTAGTAAAAACAACTCAGCAGAAATCATGGTAGGTAGCTTGGATATTTGTATGACCGATCTATCTCCACTTCTCTCATCTTATAAATATCGGTAAGTGTTGTTAGGTGCCAATTAAATGGAGGGGGGGAACATTGTGTAAAAATGTAGAAGAAGAAAATAATTAACAATTGTCGATCAGAAAGGGGAAAAAGTCTGGATGGCAGGTGCGACAGAACCTGGAGACAGCAAAATTGAAGAGAAAGAAACAGAGAAAAATCACAAAATACTTAGACCCTAAATACTTAGACCCATAACAATGATATGCCTCACACCCAATCTTTGCTTTTTTATTAAAAAAAAACAGGAATACTTGGATGTTTTGGGGAGACCGATGGTAATGGCCGAGCAAAAAGCCAAACAAGTCCAATGGACAAACGTTTATTTGGATGCTCTGGTACGTGCAGCGTATGTATTTGGACAAAAATACTCAGAAATGAAATGATTTGTTGCATTAAAATGTTGCATTAAAATGTTACTCCTGTTGTCGTGGTTCAAAGGAATCTCTTTAGCCAAGAGGAAGAGAGAGAGAGGAGAGAGGATAGATAGATAGATAGATAGATAGATAGATAGATAGATAGATAGATAGATAGATAGA